TAGGAAGGTCATTTTTGTTTTTAAAGATCTAAAAGCGTGGTATTTCTACATTTGGCATGGATGATAAGATCATCACATTATAGTATGAATTTATTTCCATTTTTCCTCATTTTATTGAAACGATAATAGATACCCACCAAGCAGAACTGGGTTCTGTCATAGACACAGGAGATGGTTTAGTAGTTCCAGGGCTGGCTCAGATGACATACTTGATATTAAAGTCAATTTACCTAATCTCTATGTCCTGATTTACCATAGAAAACATGATACCAAATCTAACAATATGGTCATAAAGCACAGCACATAAACATGTGCTGAATGAATACAAAAATCTCATTGTCTGAAGGCAAAGTGGTACTCATTACTGAGCTTCTCAGCCCCTGTATATAACACATGAAAGACTTAAGAAATGTGAAAATTATTGTATAGCAAATCGCATAAATAAATTATTAGAAGCAGTAATATAAGTATAGCATAGTGGTTATATTACTATACTTAGTAATATAAGTATTTATATTACTTTGTGCTAAAAGCTTAGTCTGCCTGGGTTCAAATTGCAGCACAGACACTTAGTATCTAACTGACCTTAGATGGTTACTTAACCTCTGCCTCTCAGTTTTCCCAGCTTAAAAATGGCATAATCAGCTGGGCGCGGTGGCTCATGCTTGTAATTCCAGCACTTTGAGAGGCCAAGGCGGGCCAATCACGAGGTCAGAAGATCAAGACCATCCTGGCTAACACAGTGAAACCCCGTCTCTACTAAAAATACAAAAATTAGCTGGGCCTGGTGGCGTGTGCCTATAATCTCAGCTGTTCGGGAGGCTGAGGCAGGAGACTCCCTTCAACCAGGGTGTCGGAAGTTGTAGTGAGCTGAGACCGCAGCACTGCACTCCAGCCTGGCAATAGAGCGAGACAAGACTCTGTCTCAAAAAAAAAAAAAAAAACCGTAATATTGACAACAATTGCAAGAGCTCATAATTCCTACTATTCGAATACCACTGTTCACAGGACCAAGGACTGTAACAGTGGGTGCTACTGTAACACAAGAATAAGATGCAGGATACCCAGTTAAATTTGAATTTCAGATAGACTGGGAATAATTTTACAGTGAAGTATGGCCCACATATTGCAGGGAGCGTGCTTATATTCTAAATATACTAAAAAAATTATTCCTAGCTTATCTAAAATAAAAACACAATTCCGGATACTTTTTTTTTTTAAGCAGGTAACTTATTTATCATCCCCATTTCATGGGAGAAGGACCATAGCTTACCTAACTTTATAACCCTGGAACCCCATAGAGTTCCTTGCCCGCAATAGGTCATTCATAAATCTTTGATTAGTGGATGAAGAGGAAATATTTCCATGAAAGGCAGTAGGTCTCCCCTTGATTGGGCAGTGTCAGAGCTTCAAGATTTGACTGTCAGGCTCTCTGACTTGAGTAGGGAGGTTTTGGTCTTTGGTTAATCCCTAGAAACTACCGGTAGGAGAATAAATATGCCTAAATTACACACCATAAAAACAAGCTTTTCCTGCCAGCATGACATAGGACCCCATATTAGAGAAGAGAGCCAGATATGCATTCTTCATTGAAGAGCTTTCTCTGTACTATGCACTGGGCTAAGAACAAGGGACTTATAATCTACATGCGAGAGAGAAAATAAGATTAATAGAAGAAAAATGTTGGCATTGAACTTAGGAAATTGGGGCCTCCAGAGTATCAAACATTCACTGAAAAGAGGAACTGTTTCTCTTTTCAAAGCAGAGAAAATTTATCTTGACATGGGCCAGCCTTAGGGGTCTGCATCTTCCTTTCAAAACATAAAGTGATATAGCTCAGGTCTCTAGAGTGTTCCTTCCTCCTGAGACCTTGAAAGCTCAGCTACTGTAGCTAACAGAGTTGAGTCAAACTCTGGGAATAAACTTTCCTTATATTAAACATTTCTTTTTCTTCTAAGGTGAAGCTAAACTCATTTTTGAAACTGGATTGTTTCCTGAGATGTATCAATCAGGACCTTTGCTATCTTGTACTGCTTCATGAATGTCTATGCTCTTTCAGGAATAGGTGACTTTGGATTTTATGAACCATGCTAAGAAGGGTAAAACATGGCAAAGTTGTGGTAGAGAAAAGGGGAAGAAAGGGCCCTGAAGAGCACAGACAGTGTCCTGAGCTTTATGATCAGAACTAGTGAGCAGCCCCATCCATAGCATCACAGCTGCTCATATAACAATAGAACTTGTAAAAAAAAATAATTAAATTTATGACAGGCCTTCAGTAGTCATGTCCTTGCATGGGGTTGAGTCAGGGAATTACAGGCATAAAAAATTAATGAGTCCCTCAAATGAAGCCATATGTGGAGACAAGGATGAGTTTCAGAGATGGGAGAAGATTTGATGTTTCCTACTTAGAAGTGGTTTGGTGCTGAGTGAAAGAGACTTGTGCACAGACACAGAGATCTTCAAATTTCCCAAGACATTTGTTCTTTGTCCCCCATCACTGGAGTATCTCATGATTCATCTTCTGGGAAAGCATAAAGTTTCGCAGGGCTTAAGTCTGGTTAAATCTCAAAAAATGGTTAAATTCTGTTACCCAAGATTTTAATAGATACATAAGAAGCAAGAGACTGCTTCCGTGGCTGTTGAAAATCACAGGCATTCCAATCTGGAAAGACTCTTAAAGAACATATTTTCCAAGTTTTAATTTTAGAAACAAGGAAACGGAGCCCCTGAAAGGACGAGGACCCCACACAACCTGACTGCATAACCTGATTGTCCTGTGATCACCCAAGTCCCACACCAATCCTTGCACATGGGCACATAATGAGCAGTACATATTTAAGGAATGAATGCATGAATCTCATTGATTGAGGGCAAGGTAAGACACAGTACAGTTTCTCAGTCCCTCTCTGTATCTTGTTTTGCTTCTCAATGATTACTCAATATCACTTAGAGAATACAGGTCCAAGGTGAATGGTCCTGTATTCTTTTAAAATCGTCCTGCCTCTGGAGTATAAAATAAAAGCCTTTCTCATATGAAATTCATCACCCTGGTGCTTGAGCATTTCCGATAAGCCAGGGTTCAAGGTGTTTGTCCATGTGGCTGTTTCCGCATCGAGAGGACAGATGTCCATTTGAGTGTCTATCTGTAGGTAATGATCAGGGGGCACTCACAGACCTTGATGGCACACAGCTAGTTGGAAGCCAGGTTGGACTGGACGCCTGGCCTCAGAACCCCAGACCACAGCTTCATCAACAATCCCCATTTGCTTCTCGGCTTGTAGAAGATGGAGATATGTGCTCCTCAAACAGCTGCTCCTGAGTGGGAGGAAATAGCATGCAGCATAAGGGATTAAGTAACAGACTCACACAACAGTCTCAGCTTTATCCTAAATAGAATTACCTTTCTATATTTACTCATTCAGTCAGCAAACATGCTCTGAAGGCCCCCCTTTGCACCAGACTGGATGCTGGGCTGGCTCTGCCCGGATCTAGTGGGCTGGGCATAGTGCCTGCTCTGCAGAAGCCCACACTTCAACAGGGAGAAAGGACTAAAGGCAACAAAATGATCCAGGTGCTCCAGCATGTGAAGTTTTGAGTCAAATATACCGTATATGAAGCACAAAGTAAGTATATTTGATAATCATGGGAGGCAGAAGAAGAGGACATGAGATATCAGAAGGAAGCTTCTCTCTGTTCTACAGTGAAATACTCAAAAATGTGCCTTTATGTTGTTTCAGTAACCTAAAGCATGTGAAGAGAGAAACAGCACTCTGGCCCATTTGACTCATAGCATCTAGTCTTTCTTGGACCAGTCAGAAAGTGTAGAACTCTCCAAGGCTGTTCATTTCTGTCCATAGTGACTGTGGTCAAATTAGCAGGTCTCCTCTAAATTGTCATCCCCCAGGAGGAGACACACCCACATCCTATTCCCACCCTCACTGCCTCTCATAAGCCTCAGTCTCAAGGAACTCTTTGAGCCTCAGCAGTGCTCAAAAGCCTCAATCTCAGGAACTCTTTGCGTTCTGAAGAATTATTGAGGACTCAGGCGGGCGCAGTGGCTCACACCTGCAATCCCAGCACTTTGGAAAGCTGAAGCAGGTAGATCACTTGAGGTCAGGAGTTGAAGACCATCCTGGCCAACATGGTGAAACTCCAACTCTACTAAAAATACAAAAAATTAGCTGGACCTGGTGGCAGGTGCCTGTAATCCCAGCTACTTGAGAGGCTGAGGCAGGAGAATCCTGTGAACCCAGGAGTCAGAGATTGTGGTGAGCTGACATTGCACCACTGCATTCCAGCCTGGGAAACAGAGCAAGACTCCATCTCAAAAAGAAAGAAAGAAAAAAGAAAGAATTGGCCAAGCACAGTGGCTCACGCCTATCCCACCACTTTGGGAGGCCGAGGCAGATAGATCACCTGAGGTCAGGAGTTTGAGACCAACCTTACCAATATGATGAAACCTCGTCTCTACTAAAAATACAAAAAAAAAATTTGTTAGGTGTGGTAGCAGGCATCTGTAATCCCAGATACTTAGGAGGCTGAGACAGGAGAATTGCTTGAACCCAGGAGGTAAAGGTTGACATGAGCCAAAATTGTGTCACTGTACACCAGCCTGGGTGACAGGGCGAGGCTCCAACAACAACAACAGAAGGAAGGAAGGGAGGGAGGGAGGGAAGGAGGGAGGGAGGGAGGGAGGGAGGGAGGAAGGAAGGAAGGAAGGAAGGAAGGAAGGAAGGAAGGAAGGAAGGAAGGAATTATTGAGGATTCCAAAGAGCTTTCGTTGAGGTGGAGAATGTCTGTCAGTAACTACCATATTAGAAATTAAAACTGAGACTCTAAAGAGTATGTACTAGTAACTCATTTTAGCAAATAATAAACCTACCATATGCTGACATAAATGATACATTTTCATGAAAATAACTACATTTCAAAATTTAAAAAGTAATGCGAAGAATGGTATTGCTATATATTTTGCAAATTTCTCTCTCTTTTTAATGGACATCACTCAGTATAACCTCTGTCTCATACTTTCCCAAAGAAAAGGAGAATGAGCCTCAAGGGCAAATGGCTGCTGTACTGCAACTCCGAGAACCATCCTCCCCTCAGGGAGACCTGGCTGCCTTTTCCTCCTCGTAGCTTCTGATGTTCTGCACATTCAGAAAAACTTCTCTAGTGACCACAGAAATGATCTCTGAAAGTATAGCCTTTTTTCAAATCTTTTTCACGGCTGGACTCTCCTAACTGCTCCTGCATTTAATCTGCTATAATATAGAATTGTGGTTGATAAATAGAGTCCAGGCTTACAACAACATGCCATTAAAAAAGAGAGGAGTATTGTATACCCTTTCAATGTATTAACACATGTGAACATTTGTCTTTGATACTACACCAAAATTCAGTAAGTAGTAGTTTTTTAAATGTTTGTTGCAGTATGGAATCCGAACCTACATCAATAACTTTTCATTTCTGAAAAATTCATGCATGATTTTGTAGCACCATGCATTGGTCATCTGGAAAATATTGGTTCACTGAATTGTACAGATTATTCATTTCATTTTGCAATGTCAGAAAAATCCCATTTGCTAATATCATCCTGACCACATCAGAAAAGTCTGTTAAGTACTAGAAAGCTACTGAAGCATTCCAAGTTTCTAATTTTCACCTCAGACCTTGAATATTAGTATCGGCCACAAATACTGCCATTTGTTTTTCTTGACATGACAGGCTCAATTTAATTTTTGAGGAAATGTCTGCCAGGTACCCAACTTTGCGTGGCCATAGTTTGCCTTCCAGTTGTTCTTTCTGAGTAAAAATGGTGTTGTATGAAGCGAAGCTGCCATTCCAGTTCACAAGTGAATTGCACAAATGCTGTTTCCCATAGCTTCTAGCGCAGTTGAGCGCCACTGCTGAGATCTGAGCTGAGGCATCCACAGTCCTGCCCATCATTGCTTTTGCACTGTCAGTGCAAACATCAACACAGTGAGCAAGGCAAATAATGACCTAGCATTATAATGAAAACGGTTTTGTTCTACACCTTCTGAAAGAAGTTCGTGGACCCCACTTTGAGAATGACTGATCTGCCATGCCCAGGAGGCAGCAGGGGCCCAGCACACTGGAACCTGGCTTTATGGTTCTCTCCACTTCATTTCCTGGGAAAGCCCTCTCACCCAGCTGGTGTTGTGAGAACAATCTTTTGTTTACCAATGAGGGCTACATTTGTGTTCCTTTAGGTCAGAGTTGGGTTTGAGTTTATTAAAACTTCCTTTAGAAATGCTTACATCAGAAGGAAAACCTACGCCACGACCACGTTAGCATCCGCATACTGAACACTTATTGGTACAGGGCACTGCTGTGTAAAAGCATGATAGGGCATGTAATGCAGTCCTCATCTTGCACTATCTGACGCTGACCTGGCAAAGAAACATAGAGACAAACACATACATGATAAAGCAAGGCAGCACTTCCTGCCAAATGCACAAAGTTAAAACTGCAACAGCTCTTTAGGGAAAGGCAAGATTACTAATGCCTGGAACATCCATGCATTCACTCATGTGCCCGACACTATTATAGGTACACGTGATCTGGGGATGAGCAAGACAAAATCACTGACCTCATGGAATGTACTTTCTAGGGCAGGAGACAGACAATTAACAACTAAATAAGATTAAGCATATAATGACAGGTTTAGAGAGTTCTCTAAACTCTATTTGATTAGTATTTTAGACAGGGTAATTAGGGAAGCCTTCTAATAAGGTGACACAGGAGATACAATCTAAATAAAGAGAGAGAGTAAATATCTATGGAAAGAAAATGCTCAGTATGGAGAACTGGAAGGGTCCTTGTTTGTTGGAGGAACTACAAAGAAACTTGTGCAGCTACAGCAGAGAGTAGAAATGGCACGACTCTGATTGAACTCTGGATGTGCTGCAAAACTACTGCAGGTTTAGAAGCCTTCCATCACATTATCTCATTAAGATTGTTCAGAAACCATCCAGGGAGACAGAGCCAGGGCTATCAATATACAGTGGAGGGTCATCAGAACATAAGTAGTGTTCTACGTGTTCATAGGACTGGGTGAGGCCGGTAAAGTGCAGAAAAGGGAGCCAGGGCACTGCACCATGGAGAAGTCATGAGGAACAGGAGGAGCCAGCAAGGCCCTTAGAAAAGGCGGCCAAAGAGAGGAAAGGAAGACCAGGAGATCATGGTAACCACGAAGCCGAGGCGAAAAGAATGATACGAACAAAGCCGTTGATAAACCATGTTAAGCGCTTGCCGAGAGGTTAAATGAAATGAGAACTGAGAGCCACCGTGGGTTTGACGAGAGAGGCTTCAGTGGAGTGGAGCATCACAGCCTGACCTTGGGGTGCCACAGGAGAATCAGAAGGAAATGAGACCATGAATAGAGACGAATATTGCCTGGTGTGACTGCTCTGAAGGTGAGCAGAGAAATGGTCCATAATTGAGATATGGGGTCTAGGGAAGAGATTTTTTTCCCTACTTATTATTGCGGCATATTTCAATGCTTAGGGTAGTAATTCAGCAGAAAGGTAAACTGCATTTTTCCTGAGAGAAGGTGAATAATTTCAGGAGTAGATCTCTTAAGCAGGCGAAAGGGAATAGGATCATAGATACTTTGGCAGATTTGTAGGTGGAAAAGTAGGTTATTCTCGCCTTGCTTCTGTTTTCTTTGTGATGTTAGAGATGGAGTTATTAACTGATAGGCAGAGGTTTAAGAAGAGAGAAGACGTGGGTGTAAATTACCGGGGAAATGCAGGATTGAGGTTGAGAACTGATAGAAATTTGTAGGCATAAACTTAAAGTGAAATGAGCCAGGAATATCTCACAAAGAGATTCAATTTGTGTTGGGTTCAAAAGAAACAATAACACTCAGGCTCAGAGAGACTTGGGACACTGAGTTTAAAAAGAACAAAGAGAAATGTTAAGTACCTTGAAAGCCGGTGTCACAGGGTCTTGTCATAGCAACAATAAGTACTGTATAAACATTTGTTGAATAAATGAATGACTGAATGCCAAGATCAATTTAGAGTACAGTGCATGTGGGCCACATTAGCTGGGAATTCTTTGTCGGGCATTGAGGGTAAAGGTTAAAAAGTAGATAGGGACGAATTCAGGCAACTCTCAAACTCCATGATAAACGCTTGGCCTTACACCTTTCATAACTGTACCAATAAATCAAAGGTGGTACAAACTTGGTTATGGAAATGATGGACTTCATGGAACCAGGACCTACCCTAGTTCCAGACCACCCCAGACAATACAAATCTGTCTGCATTCTTCTGAGGGTGAGGTCTAAGAAGGAATGCTCTAACTTGGGGGCATGGAAATCTTATCCAATTACATTATGAAAAAACTCGACATGAACATTTTTTAAAAACCAACATGCTTATTCAGATATTTTTTTCCAGGGCACTTTAGGGATCAGGAGACAACAAGAAACCATTGTCATGTGACACTTCAAAGTAGAGTGAGAAACGTGTATCACATAGCAGTGTGAACCCTTATCAAAACTGAACGTTGTCGCTCCTTTCTGGGTGAAAGTGGTGATTTGTGGACAAATGTGCCCTCAAAGCTTAGTTGCCTCCATGGTCTTAAACAGTGTTTAATTGGCTTGCATTTTAATTCAATAGAGTTCCAGGAAGAAGATGAGCAAGTTGTAAAAGTCAGAGGCCAGACGCAGTGGCTCATGCTTTAATCCCAGCACTTTGGGAGGCTGAGGCAGATGGATCACTTGAGGCCAGTTTTTTAAGACCAGCCTGGCTGATAGGGCAAACTCCCAATTAGCCAGGCATGGTGGTGCACACCTGTAATCTCAGCTCCTTGGGAAGCAAAGGTAGGAGAATGGCTCAAACCCGAGAGGCAGAAGTTGCAGTGAGCCAAGATCATGCCACTGCACTCCAGCCTGGGTGACACAGCAAGACTGTGTCTCAAAGAAAAAGAAAAGAATTAAGGGGCTTTAGTGTTGGAAGCAATCTCAGAACCCATCTCATCCAACAGCCCAGCTAATAATGCAAGAGTTCCTTCTATTACAACAACTTTAGAGTTAACTTGACCCACAGGACAGTAGCACTTCAGCATTGTGTTTGGGCAAGGAGCTTAAGAAATGAAAAAAGCAGAAATCATTCAGCAAAATGCATGACATCATAAATAAATGCTGCCAAATAAAACACAATGTATAGAACCAAGGGCCTTTGAAAAAATATTTCCTGTGAAGTGTCCAGCCCTTGGCTGGGAGTTGCTGCTGGGTGACATTCACACTCAGCTGTCCTATCCCTCTATACCGTGGCACCCTGCAGCTGGGATGCACTGAAGCAAGGTCCATGGCCTGTCTCAGCAGGCAGCAGACTCTGTTCTCTTCTCTCTGCAGACTCCATCCCCATTAATTAACCACTTATCTCTGCATCACTCCTCTGGCAAGATCCTCCAGTAAGATCCTTTCAGTCACTTAAGGTCTATTATACTTGGTTCAACCCCCATGTGCCCTTAGGACAGAGGTCCCCAACCTTTTTGGCACCAGGGACCAGTTTCATGGAAGACAATTTTTCCATGAACCCAGGGGAGGGTGAGGAATGGTTTCTGGATGGTTCAAGTGCATTACATTTATTGTGTACTTTATTTCTATTATTATTTCATTATAATATATAACAAAATAATTATACACCTTACCATAATGTAGAACTGTTACCAAAACACCAAGGGTTCAGTCTAGGTCCTGCTGCTTACCGCACATAAAGTCAATCACTGAGATCATGAGTATTACCAAGGAAGAAGGCTTTAATCAGGTTTTACGTCCAAGGAGATAGGAATTCAGTCTCAAGGCAATCTCCCTAACTGACAAAAACTAGGGGTTTTTATAGCAGGGACGAAATTGAACAATATGTAAGAAAACAGGAACTAGGGAGAGGTAAGGAAGCAATCATGATGAATGAGGGGTCCAGGTCTCATTGTCTTGATGTGGTGTTCTGGTGAGTTTCGGTTCTTTGATACTTTGTTTGAGAGGCCTGAAGGTCCTTTCCTGAGGAAGGAGCTCAGATAAAATAAATGTAAGCTTCAAGCTTTAAGATCAGGAAGGTTAATTTCTATGTTTATCCAGAAGAACAGTCTATGGAACTATTGGGTTGGTTTCAGAATCAGTAGGAGCTTTGAATTTGTTTTCCTGCAACTAGACAGTCCAATCTGGAGGTGACAG